CGGAGAATGAGTCAACAACCCATGGTCAGTAATTCACAGGAAGACTGTGAAAAATCCTTAACTGTCGAGAGCGGAAACCAGAAAGAAAAGACGTACGATACCCTTGGTAGCAATACCAGTCGTGCTGACGAGAAAGAGGAAGAAATCGAAATGCCTTTACAAACAGCCTAGTGCATACGATGATACAGGATAAATGTTCCATGAAAGAATTACGCTGTGCTAAAGAGCATCATGCATAATATTTACCAGACAATCTATCATGATCGCGATCTCATTGATCCATATTCAATGTGTGAAGCTGACTAAAATATGAGACGCGCTGGCATACAGAAACATTTTTTGAATAATTTATGTACGACCAAGTGTACTTAATGTAAATAAGCATGTTTGAATTATTTCATGCTGTGACTTTAAATGAGTAATTTTAGGAGTGTGTGTAGCAGATAAAGTTATATCAGCTTTTATGAACAACTCACCATGATGTGTTGATCACTCTATCTATACATGTAATTTGTATATATATACGAATAAAAGAAACATAATGTTATATAAACTAAGTGTGTTGAATTGGCGTTTTCTTTTATCAGTGGTCAAAAGGTAATACGAAAAATTCACATGAAAAATGAAAGGATGGGAGATACATAGAAAACGTATTTTTTTTTTTTTTTTACAATTATCAAAATTTACTTGGTCTTGGAATTTGAAATAGAATTCTAAAAGTCGTATTCTTTTTTTGTTGTTAAAAAAGAGTGTGAATTTATTCAATGCCAAGGAAAGGTGTAAAGAATACAGAGAGAAAAATAAATAGCAATACTAGTTTCTTTTGAAGAATGTGAATTTTATGAGAAAACAAAGTAACGGATTATTTTCTACATACAAGTTAATAAACGAATTTAAAATCAATTTTGTCCTTTTCATTAACTTATGAATTTTAAAACATAATGCATTCCTACTTATTTTTACCACAATATACCTGAACTAGTGTTGTCAAATCGGACGATTTTTAATAACCGTATACTCGCTTAATTTTACGATCGAGTGACAAGTTACTCGGATGATTTTTCTCAATGCACTTTTTCTCTTTCTTTTTTCTATTTTTTTTTTTTTTTTAGAAAATATACTCAGAAATGTATGTTTATATGTAATGTTGTTACAGTTTCTATATTAATATCATCATTTATAAACCGGTTCAATAAAACACAAAGAAAAAGTTTGTGAACTTCATTCTTTATTAATAAAACCCACACATTATTATATATTTTCTGTTAATTAAATTGAGGTAGCTATGGATCCCATGTCTACATCAGTTTTAAACACCTCGTATTAGACACCTCGTAATTCAATTATTTATCAATCATTGACCTACTAGAACGTGATTAAGTTGACTTTCTAATTTTAGGGACTTTCTAATTTTAAATTAAAGCGTTCCAGACGTTTTTCACCGAGTCTCTCTATTGTAAACCTCAAAAGGTTTTAAATTTTTCATAGGATGTATCAACTTACAGTTATGATTAAATTTATAGTAGAAAACCAGTGTCTTCCGAAATTTTCTTTCGTAAGTCTCTGATTTTTCCGTACACTATAAGAATAACCGGTGATTATTATTTTTTTTAGATATTAATTGTACATGCATTCTCTTTAGAAAATAAATCCTGTATGAATTTTGACACAGGAAATTCACAATGTCTGATAAAAAATGTGCATTATCTTATTTGTTAATATCACCAAAATATTTAAAGGTACATTATAAAAAATATTTTTTCAATTTTGGTGGTTGGTACATTTGTATACAGACAAAAGGCCAGGCATCCAAATTACACACCCACCTTGTCAACATTCTTTACTGATATACTTTTATTCCCAAATTAAAAGACACACTAGTAACCTTGTTCGGGAAATTATTATGATGGGTATATCTATTGAATTTTGTATTTGAGCAAGTTGAATAAGTACCTTTTTTCATTTTGGTTGATTTTTTAGAAATGTAATGCCCAATATATTAATTCTCTGAAAAAAAAATCATGGAAAATATAGTGCTTTTTTTTTGGTCATGTCTTTAAAATTCGTCAAAAGAACAATCTTTTGCAGCACCCGATAATATAAGGTTTACGTTTGTTCTCCAGTTAAAAAAGTATGTACACGTTAAAATAAATTACGACAAATACGATGAGAGAGAGAGAGAGAGAGAGAGAGAGAGAGAGAGAGAAATCTGGTACAGTGTCGTGAGAAAAGCCAAAATCTGCATGAGGCAATGATACACAAAGTACATTTAATTCACATTTATAAAGTAAAGTAGACACTCGTATAAAGAGAAGCCGTTCATTCATTAAGCCATTTGATTCACATAAAGATAACAGAACATAATAAGATGAGTACGTCAATTACGTTAAGTGCTTACAGAAGAATTATAGTATTTGTATTTTCTATAAGCAATTGCTAGACTGTTGGTATGATTGTTTACTATGCCTATGTAATGCTTATTTTAAACAAGAACTAACGACTTGGTAGTTAATTTGTGTAGCCATGATGATGAGACGAAGTACGAATGCATTCGTAAATTAGAACATTATTTACACATCAAATTGTAGTCTGCTATTTTTTTTTTACTATGACAATGAGCACAGATGTGACCGTGTGGCAGTGGATACTCACTACTCCATAGAACCTGATTCCATCTCTGATGTTTTAGAGGCCCGTAGTTTGCCCTGCTGCTGATTTGTTTTGTTGAGATTGCATACTGTTCGTTATCTACATACGTGTACATTGTAGCTGTTGTTTGAACAATACAATTTTAATTCTGATTGAACAACTTTTATAAAACATTTATAGATATTCATGGAACGAAAAATATACTGCTCTTCGAAATATATATGTCAGGTTCATTTAATCAGATGCGTAACTTTTTTTTCCAGACATAGTGTACTGTTTATACATGTGATTAGACACGTGGCCATTTGATAAGAAACATTTATTTAAGGCCTCTAATCACGTGATAAGAACATTATCTAGAAACACTGGTCCAAGTTTTGGTAAGTTAGGAGGATCTAAGATCTATTTTCTATTGAATTCCAACCCTTGAGCTTACTATGAATATTCTTATTTGAAAATGTCTGCATCTACACTCTTATTGGGCATATACAATTAATTACAAATACTTGTATTGTAGATTTGAATAAATATTTACCTTATCTTAAGGCAGGTCCACACTTTTACGGATCCGGTTTTAATTTTACACACCTATATAAAATTTTAATTATCCTTATCTATTGAAAAAAAAAAACTTTTTGGACGATTAAAAATAATTTAGCAAGTATATATTTGTTTGTTATAGTGTCATTGTGCACACAAAGCATTTAATATACATTATTTATAGGAATAACCACTTTGCACTCTGTTCATAGGATCTATATGTAATTTAGTACTTACACAGACAGAGAATTCTTAATTGCCTTCATGGACCTAAAATCTTCAATTTTTTTAAACAAACTAACTTGAGATCTTTTTATCTTTAATTTTTAGCCTATATCATCTTTTTAAATTAACTTTTTAATACGTTTTGTGAAGAACGATTAAAAAAATAGATATTCCAAAAATGGGGGTATAGGTGTTCAAAAGGCTGTTTTGTGAAAATTTTCTGGTCAACCATAATAAAGTATGTTTTTTTGCCAACCTAAGATATAATTCTAAATAATTGTTAAGAAAAAATAGCATATAAACATGTAAAATTTTGAGAAATATTTAAAATAAAGATATTTTGAACTTTTTCTCTGAGAGATTTTGACAGAATCAACATAAATTTTTTAGTGTTTTCAAATAGAAATTTCAAATATTTTCTTGACAAATGAATATTTATTATTTTTTTAAGTCATAACAATAATTGGATGTGATTTGGTACATAACTAAATAAAATATGATGTTACACTTCTATATGTTGAATTTTTGCTGTTGCATTTTTAGAGGTATATACTCCGAGACAAGTTGCATGAAAATTAACCTGCAAAGATATGTTTTTTATGGGTGTTTTAGTTAGATTATGACTTACACAAGATTTTCAAATCAAAAAATAAAGAGTTTGACAGAAAATTCTGAAAGTACAGACCTACCTTAAATGACATATGATACAAATAAAAATTACATCTACATTATGAAGCATTGCATAAAAGTTAAAATCAATATTCTTGTTAATTTCTTTCATTTTACTTTGTTAAACATGGTTGAATGGCTATTTTCATGATATTTAAGGTCTAGTTTAAAATCGTGTAAAATCAATAACTAGTATTGCAAACTAGCTTTTAAAAAAAATCTTTATATTTTTAACTATTTTCCCCACAAGGAAATTATCTTTAAATGTAGAAAGCCGACGTACAAGATAATATTTTTTTTTAAAGAAAACAAGATGAAAATTGGTTTCATACCCTTTAAATGCCTTTTAAAAAATCTGAAATTTTTAATGTTAATTAATGGAATGAGATCCAAAAATTCCACCTTTAACCTTATCCATATGTGACTGATAAAACTGAAAATAGATTTTTTTTCTCTCGTTAATCTGATGTGGACATAGAGTAAAGGTCGACAGGCGATGCTTACTTCTTCATGGCAGTTGATCCCCTCTGGTGTTTTAGTGGTCCTATTTGCTGTGCTTCATTTTGTATTGTTTTAATGGTAATGAATTTTCGAGCTTAATTTCTGTTCGTTATCTCGATATTTTAAATTCTATATATTTTCATCTTAATCAGAGGAACTGGAAATCTTTCAAAGAAAATTACGTTTGTTTATGAACATATACCTTATTAAAATAAAATATGATTTGATTAATTTTACAATAATTGACAATATGTACTTGAGAATGAAATAGAAAGAGGAAATAGAAAACCACGAATTAATTAGAAAAAAGTTATTTATAATTACTCCACTTGAATGAATAGGAAATTCATTAAACGAAAATGATAATCTAATACTAATAAATGGGAATAAAACTCACTGATGAACGGCTCTTTCAATTATTCATTAATTCATTGTTCATTGAAAACGGAGCTATGTTACAGATTATCGCTTTAATTGTGACATTTCATCAAATTATTTTTCATTCAAATGCATACGGTAATTTACTTTACTGCATTCCCATTGGGTATGTTTCTTACTATGGCATTTGCTTTACTGATTTTATTTTAATTTTTGAATTCCAGAAAACATTGCCTTGAATAAACCGTCCTGGCAAAGTAAGCAATATTTACGTTATCGGGATCACAGTAAAACCGATGCAAGTAATGGCGTGGACGGACTGAAAACGGACCTCTCACATCATGGAGGACAATGCGTCATATCCGCTGAAAATCGTCCCACTGCCACCTGGTGGGTGAATCTGACATCAATTCTCAGTATACATCACATAACAATTTACTACAGGACGGATAATATTAAGTGGGGTAAGTAGCAAAATACTTTCATAACAGGTAGAGTTGTATATATTTTTTGACAAAAATAAAGTATAGGATTATGCATGAATGATATCGACCTTTCACATAAGACATAAGGTGGAGCATCCCGAACTTTAACACTAACTATAAACGTTTCATTTGATACGCGCAAGAGTATGCTTTACGTAAAAGCAATTTCTGAAACGAGGTAAGTTACTGACAAACAAGTGATGGTGGAAGAATATTGGCCAGCTCGCTTAAAGTTATCATTTTGTAAGTTCTGACCTCTTCAGCGAAAACAACACATCAATAAGTCAAATGCTGGCTGGCACTTTTCATACTAATTTTTAAGCTATATTTACACACTTTGAATTTTTCCGTTATTTCCTGATTATGACAAGGAACACAAAACGGATGTGAGCGGTCGTCAGGGGATGCTCACTCCTCCATGGCATCTGATCCCACCTCTGATGTTTTAGAGGTCCGTACCTGGTTGCTCTGCTCCAATATTTGTATTGTTTAATGGACTTTGAGCTTGAATTTGTTGTTTCCAAATATTTTATCATACACGATTTGTAACATATCCGTAATCTATAAACAAAACAGTGTATACATGTATTATAGAAAAAAGTTATTGAAAAAATTTAAAAGTCATAAATATGACGTGAAAATTATCATTTCGGTTCTTAACGTAGTACAATTGCTAATATTTACATTTGCTGTGTTTTTCTGCTAAGCTAACTATAAATTTGATTTGAAAACCATTTTCGTGTATACTCACTCTTAGAAATATAAAAGGAGAAAGGTGCTTTAACGTGACGTTACAATAAGGCTACAGCGACGTTAGTAAAAGTATAATAATATAGGGCAGCGAGAAGTTCAAATATAGAGTATATTTTTGGTGCTTCCCAACATGCAAAATGTAAATATAAGGAAAGTTTCGCTTCAGAAAATATGCCTACTTGACAAGTCCGTATGAATCATACACCAATAACTCACACAAAACTAAAAAAAACATTCCTTAAGTATTGTCTTGTTATTTCTAAACTCTTTTCTGTTTTTCATTACTGAAACATATTGGGATAACGAAAAGAATTAAAGGTCAAAAGTCCATTAAACAATACAAAATAGGAGTAGAGCATAGACGGATCTCTAAAACATCAGAGGTGGGGTCAGGTGCCATGGAAAAGTGAGCAATCCCTGCTGACCAGTCTCACCCGTCGTGTGCTCCTTGTCATGATCGGGAAAGAACGGAAATACCCGTCGTCAATTCAGTGTATAAATAATGGACTAACAATTAGTATGAAAAAAAAACAAAACATCAGACAACATTTGACTCAATGATAAATTGTATTTGCTGACAAGGTCATTGTATAGACCAAAGAACTTACGAAATGATGACTTTAAAGGAGACTGCTGATATTTTTGTTTCATCAAAATGTTTGTCAAAAAATTACCTCAATTTTAAAAATTGTTCATACGTAGAACATGCCTTTGCGTATCCAATCAAATGAGATATATAAACTCCGTTTGCAGGTGACGAAGTTATATTGTTGCGTAAGTACGGGAAGCTGACGATTGTTAAGTTAAAATCATCACGTTTATCATAGAGCTTGGTTGCTAGATTATCATTAAATTCTTTTTCAAGTAAAATATTCAAATACGAAACAGATGTGTCAGACTCTGAGGTATTTTTTATCTCAAGCTCACCGGAATATATCGTATCGGCACAAGAATCAAAACATGATTAAAACGTAAACCTTTTGTTTGTGTTGTCCATTCTATAGCTTAGTGTTGAGCCAACTCCCCTAACAATCCATTAAGTCACCTGTAAGTATCCATTCTTTTTGGAAAACTGCCCATTCTTTTAAGAATGGACAGTTAAAAACAAACAGAATGGACAGTTAAAAACAAACAGAATGGACAGTTAAAACAAACAGAATCGAAAGATACAGATAAACCTTAGCATGTGCACAAGAGGGAAACAAAAACAAATTAATATATTAAATACGATTTTATGTACATGTGAATAACAAAAAGAACTTGGAGATATAAGTTAATCCAGAACACAGTGTCTGCATCGGATCTGTTCGATTTTACACTTTTAAATCAATAAGTAAAACACATTATTTCAATTCACAAAACTTGAATTTTAATGACACAATTTCACATCTGATTAAGATTTTGAAAGCATCATTCCCTCGAGAAGAATCCATTTTAGGCATGAAGTAGGCTTATATTAAATCCATCACCCAGAAAACAGTTTGCACCATGAAAACTACACTGCTGCGGTGAATATTTCGGTAGCAAATAATTAAAATTGAAACATTTCCAGATTTGATTTGATATACATTTTCAGGTCGAAGTTTAGCCCATGGCTATCCAACACTCGGAACACAATTTGAATTTCAACATTACACTGCTGCAATTAATATATCCTCAAAAATTGAATTCTAATTTAAAAAAAAACACATTTCCAGTTTGAATTCGAAATATCTGTATTTGTCGTTTTCAGGGGATCAGAGCTGGGATAATGTTTTCTTTTACGCTTACTATTCTCTGTGTCCAGATGAAAGTATCACTGGTTGTGTGCATCTTTTGGTCCCGATTTCGATTCTGTCGTAATTATATTCTCTCCATCAGAGGGAAACATGTTTGCCTTTACAACGCAAAATATAAACTGATTTTGAGGAGTTGCATTCTTATATAAAAACTAGCATCCCCCAAAATCCACATGTAAGTGTCCATTCTTTTGACGAAGACCTTTTGTTATTTGCAACTGGAAACACAATAGCTATTCAATAAATTGCTGTGCACCCCAAGCTTACCTGTAGCTGTCCATTCTGTCAACAATGAATTTATAGTATGTGTGCTACCTGTGTTGCACATTTTTTGTTAAATTTTCAGAACAAAGAGAATCATGTTTTAAGTAGGATTAAGGCCTAAAACTGTCCATTCTGTGAGAGAAAGAACTGATCTCGGGCCTACAGCCCTCGATTAGTTCTTTCTCTCACAGAATGGACAGTTTTAGGCCTTTCTCCTTTACTGAAAGTTGCCATTGTTAGTTTTCGATTAGCCAGAATCTAGCGAGAGTTATTTCCCGTTGGCGGCCATACTGGAGGTCCAAACGCTTATATTCCTTCATTGTTCAACCAATATAAAAATTTTATAAATGCTATTTTGAATTAGAAATCATTATTTTTCTGAAGTATGTAAAATTTTGGAAGCCTCCTATATTTGAAAAAAAAAATATTTATTAAAGATTTTCCACCAAATATTTCTTCTACAACCTCTTAAACTTGGTAACACATAGAGGGAAAATCACCGAGTCGACCTCCAATATGGCGACCAACGGGAGGTAACTTTCGCTAAATTCAGGCCTATCGAAAACTATCTATACGCCATCGATATATTTAAATGTTGAGTTGAATGCCACAACTAGTGTTTTCTTCCTTTCACGTATACGAATTTGGACAAATTCTGCTTCATGTCAATACAAAAATAGGTGCTTATAACGGTGTGCAATTGGTATCCTTGGGAATTCCAATAGATTGTTGGAAGACCTGGTCTCCAAAAACCAAATAGATATTGTCAACCCGAAATCAAGCATGTTTTTATGTCAACTTATAAGTATGCGTGTGTACAATCAGAAAGTTTTTTTTAACAAAATAATTTTGTAAATGACCAAAGACAAGGCGAGTAAATTTACGAGTTCAATTTTTAACGAAAAAAAGCAGCTGTCAATGATATAAATAAGCCTGGATTTACTTATCTTGTGGAATGGCTGTGTATAAAGTTGGAAAGTATAAACTTTTTTTAAGCTGTCGATTTGGCTAAAAATCTTTTGATTTCAAATTGTCCAACATTTTTATTTTGGAATTTTTAAGTATCCATATCAGATTTAAGCCACTTCTTGAATATATTGTGGCAGAGTGCTCTTGAGTTTTCTCCTTCACTACAGCTAATATCTTAGTGAGGAGAACAGAAAGAGGCTTGGTTGAGCATTTACTGGTACCCGCTTTGTATGTTTGCCGTACGGTTTTTTTTTTTTATGAAGTTTCAGAATCCAATATTGATTGGATATATATGATATTTCAGATTTATAAAAATCAAAAACTGTTATATCAGCTTTTTAAACATTAATCAAATGGGTTAAATAGAAAAAAAATCTCTGAGCAAATTCCTGGTAACGTATCTGATTTCTTGTATGGAAATTTGTTAAAGCAGCGATGTTAAAACACTTATTTTTTGCCCAAATTTTTGTTGACCATGCTTAGAAATGACAGGTATAAGAGTATGGGAAAACTCCAATTCAAGCATATACGTTGATATTTTTAATGCATGATTTAAACATTTTCTCTCAGCTTAAAACCTCATCTACATAAAATGATGGTCAATATTTGGATTTTCTTATATTTCTCTATTGTTTGTCAAACCTCCTGCTATTGGAAGCTTATATCAATCTACGCATAATTTCAGATTGAAAATATTTATATTTCAGGTCCAATTAATGGATATACAGCACGATTTCTAGGATTTTACTTATACGTATCCAACACAACCTACAGAAATGACGGTTACCTTTGCTTGCACGACACAAACTACACCAGGTCCACCATTCCACCTGTTGTAAACATAAGTTGTCCTGTACACGGGCAATACGTCATTTACTATAATGAAAGACTTCAAGGAGTGAAATATCCAGCTGACTACTCCTCCGATGCATACACCGAAGTGTGTGAAGTCGAGGTCTACGGTAAATAATTACCGAAATTTACACTGCATGTTTACATGTGTATAAAATAATGTGATTGATTAGAAAAATGATTGCACATCAGAAAAAGGGATGAGTAATTATTCTACAAAAGTGAAAATTGACAGATAAAAAAATCCATACACAAAACAACAAACAACAACAACAACAAAAGAAATTAGGCAAATGAACAAATCAGTAAGACAAAAATGCATACGTATGAAAAAAAAAATAACTTATGATGATGTTAGATCGAAAATTTTTGTTACAGTAAGGCTGAAAACTATAATACAGGATGAATAAAAGTGTGTACTTAACTGTGGCTAAATTTGTGTTAGCACTGGATATGATTAAATATAAGCGTGGCAAATAATGGATTGGAGAGGGAAAAACTAGAACTCCCAGGTAAAATCTAGGTCACTGGGATATTGTATGGGAAAACATTTTGAGTAATTAGAATCCTCACAAAGTCAGTAAATTACTTGTAAAAGAATTAAGTAAATTGAATTCATAAGCTCGTGTTTATGCACTGTTGACATATTTACATCTTCATCCTTAAATGAAAGCATGATTACAGCTAGATGTCTAATTTTCTTTACATTTTGTTTTTGAAAATTGTTGTTATAACTTGTATATAAAAATATACACACCGTCAATAGAAACGCAACCCCCTAATTTTAGGGTGAAAATTATATACAGCTTATAACTATGTACCAAAAAAGTTAGGACATCTTTTACGTCGCCAAATCAGTTATTTAACGGTTGAATGAATTTCTTTCCATTACCGGAAGTTGCTTTTTAGCTTGTAGTTATAATCTGTATATAATTTTCACCCTAAAATTAGGGTGTTGCGTTTCTATTGACGGTGTGTATATTTCAAAAGCATGTACTACATACATTTTAATAAAGAGAAGCAATATTCTAAGAGTCTTACATGTACCAGATCTGACGTAAAAGGGGAAGCTTTTTTAAAGTGTTTATTTTTCAGGATGTCCAACGTCTGGATATTTTGGTCCTGATTGTTCCCTTAGATGTCATACAAACTGCCAGGAATATTGTAACATCGAGACTGGGGTTTGTTTAGGATGCAAACCAGGCTATGTTGGGCAATATTGTGACAAAGGTTTGTAATGCAATTATTGTCTTAAAAAATACAATTATTCATTATAGATTGCATTTTTTTTTATAAACAATAAATTTTATTTTTTTAATATTAAAAAAACCTGTCCATACCCCCCCCCCCCCCCGAAAAAAATATATCTATTAAACGGATCGCATATTTAAAACACAGTTTACAGACTATAATCTGGACATTTTTTTATTTTCAAAGACGGAATGTCGGAAATTAAAATGATGTCATGCAGTCTTCAATTTCATTTATTCAAATCCAGACTATATAATAATATAAATATTGATTTTTTTTATTTGAATATGTTTTTTATTCACCAGAAAAGTATCAATATTGACCGAGGCGAAATCGAGGTCAATTTTGATATTTTTCTGTTGAATAACAAACAATATTCAACATCAAAAGAGTCCATAATTGTAAATTATTGGAACCTTTGTTTTTTTTTTCAAAAACCACCGATATATTACTTAGACTTGATAACAAATGCATTTCTTATTGAAATCTCTTTTCAGAATGCAGTGGAAGACGTTATGGACAAAATTGTGAAGAGTTTTGTGGAGACTGTCTGAACTTTGAACAGTGCCATCACGTTCATGGAAAGTGTCAAAATGGATGTGAACGAGGTTATCAGGGAACCAGATGTACTGAAAGTAAACATATTTTATCTGTGGTGCAATAAAGACAATGGATTTTGTCGTTAGAAAAGAACATTTTAAAAAAAAAGATCAATATTAACATAAATAAATCAGCAGAACTATAATTTACATGAATTCTTTTGTGCCAAATAGTTAATTGTATGTGATGACATAAAAACTCCGATATTTAAACTCTATGATAAAATTTGTGCCATTTCAAAATCCTCAGGATTAGCATTAATTACTTTCCTACTACTATACATTTTTTGTCTGTCTTTAAGTGTGTCCAATTGGATTCTATGACAAAAACTGTGAGAGGAAATGTAGCCCGAATTGCCTCTACTCCAACAGATGTGACTCCAAATCCGGTGTATGTCAGGGGGGTTGCAAAACGGGATGGGAAGGTGTCCTTTGTGACAAAGGTAAATACACACAGCATGGTATTAGGAATCCTACTAATATTTCAGGGAGGAAAGATGTTAAAAATTGGTTCTTTGTGTCTATCAGTATATTTTGAGAAACAGTCACAAATAAATCTCTGATATAGTCCCTAGAAGTTCTACTTTCTAACTTGAACTTTGAACGAAATCTGAACGAAATCTGAACGAATGGTGAGCGAACGATGTGTGAATGATGAACGCAACGTAGTGAGCGTGTGTGAACGATAAATGAACGCAGAACGCTAAGGGAGTGCAAAGTAAACGGTGAACGAATGGTGAACGCAAGATGAACGATTTATTTGGAATTTCTCTGATCTTTTTCTTGCATTGAAGCTATCCTAATGTATTCTAATGTCAGGTGCTAAAAAACAAATTATCATTTCAAAGATAAATAAATAATAAAATAACATAAATTTTACAAAATTTTCCTAAGAAAGACGATACATGCATATTAAGTAAGATAATTACTGTTAGTTTCTTACGATATTTTCTGCACATATGGCCAGGTAAAATTAATCTTTAGATTCTCATCCTAATTTGCAAAAAAAATTGGGGCGGGTGGGCGGATTTTATTTTTTATTTTTTATAATTGTTAATTTATATATAGGCCTAAGTATCAACAAAACAATGGACGCCCCGTACACATTTTTTTCATTACCTTAATGCAAATATGAATAGATTTAATTCTTTTCATATTCTTTTAAATTTATAAAGAAAATTTTTGCTTTAAAAGTTAAATATTTATTGTTAATTAACAAATTATCAAGTACACATTATACGGCACACCCTGAACAAAATGAGGTGGGGATACCAATAAATTGTGTATGCGCGACTTCTTATTTTGCAAAATCTATATAAATGTTCTAATAATTATTCTACTGAAAAATCTAGATTTTTCTTAAGTCTGTCTACGATGTTGTAGATTTTTTTATTTCAAAGCTAAGTCACACAGCTGGAGATTGTTATGTATAACTTGACCAGGTGTCATTTTCCTCGTCTATTTTTACTTAGTTACAATCTCTCCACATACTTGCTCCTGCCAGTGATGGTATCTATATGTGTTTATGCTATTTTTTCTTCTCTGCCTTCTCTATACTGACAAAATATCTTTTCCTTACACATTTAAACTGCTTTTATTGCCGATTTTTCTCCATTCTTCACATGGCGTTTTTGCTATAAATAGCGACACGCGACTTTTAATACAGACGGGAGATAACTCTTAAACTTTGACCCAAATTCTTACTGAAGAAAATACATGAAAATACCCAAATATCAAAATAAAAAACGTCGGGGCGGGACATTTTGAGAGGGGCGGGCGGGGATGAGAATCTAAAGATTAATTTTATTTGGCCTATATGTAATTAATTAAGAAATAAATTAGATGCTTGTTTTCTTAGCTTATATCTTTTTAAATTTCATCATAACCCAAGATTGTCTCTGATTGTTTTTCCCGTTTAAAATACTTACTTTAATTTTTTAAATTAAACATACATATTGATAACTTATACAAAATAAACTTTAGGGAACTTCGATTCAATTGCTATCAAGATTTTTTTTACGCATCCCAAAAATTGCTTAGTCTTCATATGCATCGATAATCGTATCCCAATATCAAAGTATCTAGTGTGTTTCGTTTATGCTTCCTTACTAATCTTAATGACTTAATAAACTTATGACCGAACACTACAACAATAGCTCGATAATTTATAAGCATGATCTATTTTGTATATCTTTTTCATCTTGTTTTTCTTATATACTTTTTTTTAGTAAATAAATACATGTTTAGGTGTGCATATTTAAAGTATAAATTGAATTTCAATTTATGCATAAAAATGGGCAAAATCATTGATTCTACTTGTTAAAGACTGTAATGAGAAGAATGGAACGAACTGCAATATACGATGTGGACACTGCCGAGGAGGAGCCGTGTGTAATCAGATTAATGGAGTCTGTCCCAATGGATGTGCTGCGGGATACATGGGAGAAAGTTGTACAAGAGGTAGTATAGCAACCGCTTATGATAAGACGCAACTTAATGATAGAAATATCAGCAAGCATTGCAATGCAATGCTTATTGAAATGAATTATTGCATTTATAGTTGAAATATTCTCAACCGCAAATACTTAATCCCCGCTTAAGGAAAGAATTATATGAATGTCAATATCGAGAATGTTAACTTTTGATGCAATAAATTATTACTGATATCTCTCATTGGATATTATTATTTGTCTAGGTTCAATCAAGGGTGTACGGGAATTAGCCGGGTTTTATTCCATACAACCTGAGACCGAAGGCCAAAGGATGTATGGAATACAACCTGGGGTAAATCCCCGTACATCCTTGATTACCTGGATAACGAATATATTTCCTATGTATCCAAAAATTTTTTGTAAACATCAGAGTGTGTCAATCTATCGATAAGATAACTACATACTACAATGCATCGTGACGTCATGTTATTCGATTTTTATCATAGAAAATGTATGCATTATGACATGCTTTGTTATTTTGTATGTAGCTTGTAACACGAGCTTTGATTGGTTACAAAGTCGGGTGTAAAAATCTGTGCACCAGACTTAAGCTGGGTGTAAATAAAACGTAACGTCACAATGCATACATTTTCTATGACACACTCTGATGTCAACAAAAAAAAAATTATGGATACATAGGAAATACATTCGTTATCCAGGTCCAATCAAGGGTGTACGGGGATTTACCCCGGCTGTATTCCATACACCCTTTGACCTTCGGCCTCAGGGTGTATGGAATAAAACCCGGGGTAAATCCCCGTACACCCTTGATTGAACCTAGATAACTAATGATATCCCATAGTTGTAACATCGCAATGTTTTTTTTGGTGGGAGAATGGAGAAGTAAAATAAAGTTCATTTCTATATATATTATTGAGTGTTTTTATCCCATCGCCATTCCTTGGGTATAAGGACACAAAAATCATATCCAAACACAAATGAAAATCCTATATGTTCACAAAATGAGAAAAAGTGTATTTTTTATGGCAGAATGCGCCAGTGCTTGGTATGGTTTGAATTGTAAGCAGAAATGTAGTGCATATTGTAACAATACTGGAGTTTGTGATCACGTGACTGGGTCCTGTAAAGGTGGTTGTAAAAGTGGATGGCAAGGTGTGAATTGTTTTGAAGGTATGATTTCATTTTATTTCTATGTCAATTTATTTTTTCTGTTCAATCTATATTTCATCAGGTTTCTTGCAATTTCATTCGCAACGCCAAAAAATGTTTATTATATGTGGACTAGATCATTTAGAAATAATTTCATAATACTTCGACAAATTGTGGATAAAACTTAAGCCAGTAGCAATTTTAAGTTTTTTCATCAAACAATCTTTTTATAGTTGTTTGAATACAGTTAAACTTCAAAATCTAGAAAAGTACTCGATTACCAAAATATTCGACAATTTAAGTGTTTGATAAATCAAATTTCAGCTGTTGTAATGAGAAAGAAAAAAATAGTTCAATAGTATCTTTGAGATATAGATAATTTTCTGTAATTTTGTAAAGGAATTCTGGGGGAAAATAGAATATATGAGTCCAAAAATCAACATATGTATAAAATATTTTTTCATTTTCTTTTTGGTCCTATCCGTGTTTCTTTGAACGATATACTTAATTTACCTTGACAGAAGAGACAAACATTACTGGTAAAATCGAATACGTTAATTCAGCCAGCACCTGTGATTCACCCCACGTGTTTATATCTCTGTTCTGTATCAGTATTGTGGGCAGTTTTCTGCTGGCTGGTATATAATAGTTTCAATCGGTCAAGAAGAAATCAACGATCAAATATATATAAAAGTTTGCTGACAAAATGCTCTATTTAAGGTATGTATCATTTATTTTAGTCCTAGAAATGGAGGTCACTTGATATGTAGATGTTACGTGTACGCTGAAAGATATCAACTCCTTAAGAAAAAATAACATGTCAATTTATTTTTTCTGTTCAATCTATATTTCATCAGGTTTCTTGCAATTTCATTCGCAACGCCAAAAAATGTTTATTATATGTGGACTAGATCATTTAGAAATAATTTCATAATACTTCGACAAATTGTGGATAAAACTTAAGCCAGTAGCAATTTTAAGTTTTTTCATCAAACAATCTTTTTATAGTTGTTTGAATACAGTTAAACTTCAAAATCTAGAAAAGTACTCGATTACCAAAATATTCGACAATTTAAGTGTTTGATAAATCAAATTTCAGCTGTTGTAATGAGAAAGAAAAAAATAGTTCAATAGTATCTTTGAGATATAGATAATTTTCTGTAATTTTGTAAAGGAATTCTGGGGGAAAATAGAATATATGAGTCCAAAAATCAACATATGTATAAAATATTTTTTCATTTTCTTTTTGGTCCTATCCGTGTTTCTTTGAACGATATACTTAATTTACCTTGACAGAAGAGACAAACATTACTGGTAAAATCGAATACGTTAATTCAGCCAGCACCTGTGATTCACCCCACGTGTTTATATCTCTGTTCTGTATCAGTATTGTGGGCAGTTTTCTGCTGGCTGGGTATATAATCTATTTAAGGTATGTATCATTTATTTTAGTCCTAGAAATGGAGGTCACTTGATATGTAGATGTTACGTGTACGCTGAAAGATATCAACTCCTTAAGAAAAAATAACATTGTAATAAACATGATAAACTTAAACATACTTTTTATGTCATCTGACTAAACTCATTTATTTCATTCACTGGTCTCTGCCTCCTGGGGCCTGAGAGGATAGGGCCAAATAATCTAAATTCAATGCAATCTTTGAAAATGTTCTTCATTTTATGTTACATGATGTTTAGGTGACCTATATGGTTCATGGGCGTCTTGTTCATATCATATCGTGTATCAGTTTGAAACACCGATATCAGCCAAATTGCTGATACAGGATATAGTATATAAAACAGAATGTATTATTTAAGGAATGAAGCTTATTTCAACTTATATTGTACGATATAACATAACTTGGGGCAGTTTAGGCTTTATAAACCGCGAAGCGGTTTATAAAAAAGCGTAAACTGCCCCAAGTTTTGTTATATCGTATAATATAAGTTGAAATAAGCTTCATTCCTTATAATTTAATTTCAGTATAGACAATGAGACAATTTTCCCCCCAGAATAAGCCTTCACATTGATTAAATTTTAAAAGTAACGCCAAGCGGAGTAATACGTTTTTTGACGTAACGCATTGTGACGTAGGCAAGTTATGCTACACAAAATGAATAAAATCTTTTATCCAATCAAATGACGTGTTACAAGTAAAATTAAATTATTCTTTTATATTCTCTATTCAATAAAATATGACCCTAAGTTCATATTACTGATTCATACATTGGAGAAGTCTATTTTTTCTTAATTTTAAAAGTAATGACAAGAAGAGTTACATTTTATCTAATTACAGGTGGGGAATGAGTCAACAGCCGACGGTCAGTAATTTACAGGAAGACTGTGATAAATCTTTAACTGTCGAAAGCGGAAACCAGAAAGAAAAAACGTACGATACCCTTGGTAGCAATACCAGTCGTGCTGACGAGAAAGAGGAAGAAATCGACATGCCTTTGCAAACAGTCTAGTGCATATACTAGCATGATAAATGTTCCAACAAGAAATTACCCTGTTTTACATAGCAGCAAGCATAATATTGACCAAGACAACCCTTCATGATCACTGCGGTTGATCCATACTAATATTTGGAGAAGACTTAAATACGAGATTCGCTGGGTTATACATTTCTAAAAAAAACTTCGATGTATGATCAAGTGTACTTAATGTATATTATAAATATGCATGTTTTATTTTTTATATTGTATTATTTTATGTTGGGTTTGTGTCGCACATAATTATATATCACCTTATATGATCAACCTAGCATGATGTGTTGATTGTTCGATCTATACATGTAATTTGTATCTATACACCATTTAAAGAAATGTAACATTATGTTAACAAAGTGTATAATTGTGTTAAATTTGATTTTTTTCAAATTTCATTGATCACGTAGCAATGAGCGAAACACGGGATCAATGAAAGGATGGGGGTTAAATATAGAACACATTTTAATTTTAGTAATTAGTATAATTGCCTTGATTTTGGAATTTCAAATAGAAATCTTAATTGTTTGTTTGTTGTTTTTTTTTTGAAAAGGACTATGAATTTATTCAATGGCAAGGAAAGATGCAAAGTTAAAAAATATAGAGAGAAAAATAGAAAGCAATTTGATATTTTCAAGAATGTTAATTCAGAGAAATAAAAAAAAATAAATGCCTATTCTACTTTCAAGTGAATAAACTGATTTTATATCAATTAGGTCCTTAAGGTCAGACGAGACGTTCCTCAAAATCTGTTTTGTATATCTTCGTAATGTATGAAAAATATGCAAAATTTTAATAACATTCTGATTTCTAAACCAGTTTCTAAACGTTTTTAAAAGATCCAAACACTTAAACATTTGAAATTAGAAAATTATTTATCTTCCCCAAAGGATTATATAAGAAAAACTACCCCTGGTATCTTGCAGAAATGCCTGGTAAGGTACCTCAATTTTTTGTGAGTAAACATGTTTAAGTAGCAATACTTCAATGACAAACTCTTAGAAAAATTTATCTATTATTAAGGATCGTCTCGTCTGTCCTTAAAATAAAAAAAAAAATTCAAACACTTTTTGAAATATTTCGACCAAGCTACCTGCCTTCATCAGTCGTGTTTATTTGAATGCATAGGTCCTTATATATAAACCATTTTTCATTCACTAAAGAATTTGAATTGATAAACAACGAAATAACAGCGCTCTAGAAATATTTAAGAAGATCAAGAATGACAAGTGAATAAAGGTGCTAGTATTTTCACAGTGTTGCATTTTATTCCTTCGGATCGAAAGACCCCAGCGGTATATTGTTTTAGTCCTGTCTATCTGCCTGTTTTTCTGTCTGTCTGTTGTCAATTTTAATTTCGCCCATAACTATTGATTGGATGGGGCTATGACTTTCATATTTCAAAGGTGTATTCCTTGCGACAAGGCCTTTCTTTGGGTACGCAGTACAGCTGAGGTGCACAATGGAAATATCGACAATATTTTGCACTTAAAAATGTATTCATAATAGGGATGACGATTATTTTTAGTGCCTTATTTATATCGGATAATTGTAATTATTGTTAATAACTACATATTGAGGACGATTAGATTTTATATTTAGACTTGTCACGTGATGCGGCAGTCACGTGATTTTAGCACATTTACTTGCAGTATTGATGTTACTTATAAATGTTACTAGTGCAAGGGCATAACCAAGTGAAAATTCTGAATTTAGTGTAATTCATCGGGTCTTTTGTAGGAATATCAAAACTCCAACACTGGATTCGGTACAAGTATTTATTAATGTGCTTATAGCAAAATAAACATACAAAGTATAAATCAAACACACTCTTACAACACAATACACACAAGACAAATACTTTACATTTAAGATCAGACATTAACAACACATAAATTATATGATTGTTTGCTGTCGGGATTAATTAATAAAAGTAAAATATAAAATACGTTTACATAATAATTATATTAAAGGTAAACAGAAAGCTTACCAGGAATCCATTTAATATACTTTCTTTTATCCAAGTAAATTCTTTGTGGAATACTTAGAATATATGATACACAGTCTAGCATCTACCGTAAAGGCAAAAATCGCGGGGTAAAGAATTTGGCGGATACAGTACTAATATATTGAGTGCAGAAATTAAAACATGCATAGTAATGAGATAAAAACGGTCAGTTATTGGTCAGCAGTAAGGTCACGTTAGGTCACCTAACCGGAAACACCTGTAAATACAAGAATAACCCCTGTCACATGATCTCTCAAAACGTTCACACCAGACACACAACACAAACAAACGCAGCGAACGTGTTTAATTGGCAATGCGCGCCAATTGTATTTGGAAATTAAGATATAACATCTGTGACATGTATAAATATTTTTATCACGCATTGTAGTTTCTGAAAAGTGCTGCGATCCTATCTAAATTCTGCAATTTCATTGTTAAAATTATATTTGTATAACCGAATTCTACATTTAATGCATAAACAAGAGTCTTGAATTGGCAGCGAAACTCTACCGGCAGACAGTGTAGGTTGATCAGCACAGGAGTTATATGTTCATATTTCATATTAATGTTATTAAGCGCGCAGCCGTATTTTGTACACGTTGAAGCTTGTCTGTAAGTTGTTTGTTAATTCCAACAAGTAAAGCATTTCCGTAATCCAGACGAAATGTAAGTAATGAATTAACAAGCGTTCTGCATGCATCTTCAGTGATGTAGTTCCTAATACGTCCGATGTTTCGTAGGTGGAAATTACATGATTTAGATAATGCATTACAGTGTTTTCCATTGTTAATGAGATATCAAAATATGTCCCAAGTTTTTTAACAAAAGGAGTATTGTGGATGATATTATTTCCAAATGAAAGACTGAAAGCTTCAATTTCCATTGATCTGGTCTTAGGTGCGAAAATCATTCATTCCGTTTTTTTCCTGGTTTAGTTTAAGCAAGTTTGCACTCATCCAGTTTTGTATGTCATTTAGGCATGCGGTTAGCGAACGGAGATGTTATTCCAATTATCCCGGGGTTCAATCATGATGTAAATCTGTGTGTCGTCTCCATAGCAATGGTAGTTCACGTTGTTTTTGTAGCAAATTTCCCCAGTTGGTTTTGCGAACAAGCAGTAGATCCTGGGGCTAAGTACAAAACACTGGGGC